CTAAACTGTATAACCCAGGCAAGTATATCACATTAGTCCTTAATATGAAAGCAACTATGGTACCAGAGAAGTGGAGGGTTCACTCAAAAGTACAATCCTCAAATCTCAGTGTTATAGGAGATAGATAGATAGATAGATAGATAGATAGATAGATAGATAGATAGATAGATAGATAGATCAGCTCCCTTCTACAAAATGACAGACTCCCTACCAGACTTTTGCTAGCAAATACTGAGATATGATACATGTGAACAACTTAAAATTTTGAGAAACACTACACATGATTAAGCCTGGCATATTGTGATCAATTAGTAGTGCAACGTACGTCAACATTTTTTTATGTCATAAGCAAAATGCTAAAATGCCAAATGCATCAGTGAGTGGTCGATACAAAAACACGGTTAAACTTAAAATGATGTGTTGAAAGCTCCTCTTAGCTGGGTAGAAAAACCCACAGATTCTTCATCACATACAAATGAAACGACTTAATGTAATACAAATATTAAACACACAAATGTGAAATGTTAGTGCATTTGTGGCATTAAAGAAGTGAAAAAAAATAAGTATGTTCTCAGCAGCTTTTTCATCTAAGAAAGCTGTTGCAATGAACAGAATAACAATTTCAGTGTATTTCTCTTCCTCTAAATTCGCTCATGATTTGAATGGGGCGGATCTTCTTCTTAGCTGAACCTTTTCTGACGGCTGCATAGATTTCCTCTGGCTTCTCTCTCTTAATCAAAGGTTTCTTTTCGGGAGCCTTCATCCGCCACATCACCACAGGATGTCGTGGGCCAGCAGGACTCTGAATTCTGATAATCTTCGTGGAGGCGATGTACGACATCTTCACTGTCTGCACCACAGCATTCATCAGGTTTTTGGCAGCCTGAATCAGTGAAGTCACACTGTCTAACTGTAAGCAGAAACACAACTATTATAATCTCTGAAATCAGGCTTGTTGTTTCCTTTTGTACGCTGGATGCCCAGAACATAAATAGAGTTGGGTCAAAAATGGCATGCAATGCTGGATAACAGAAACGAATGGGGGGAACTTACTTTAATGAGGTCCACCTTAGAGTTTTTGAAAGTCTTGTTCACAGTAAACCTAAATGCAATAAAGTAACTAAAAGCAGCAACATCAAGTCACCAAATTTTCATACCAAATGTGAATTAGATTATACTTTTGTTCAAAAATAAAGTTGGACATCCTGTAATCCCAGATCCTTGCAATTTCAAAGATTTGTAATTTTGGCAAGACTAGCTCCCAACAAAACAGTATTGCTCAGATAGCAGTCAGGCCTTACCTGACGAAGACAGAAAAGATGAAATCATTGGAGATAGAAATAATCTGGAATCATGGTCTCTTATTTTATCTTAATGCCTGAGAAAATGTGTGAATGTATTACTTTCAGTTTGTGCTATGGGAAAAATGCAACTGTCCAAAACACATCAGGAATACTGATATATTTTTTTCTTCCTAGTGTTTTTCCCGCAGGTGCAGGGTCCACTTTTTTTCAGATCAACTGAATGTCGATAAATTGATTGCAACAGGAATTGACCGACTGGCTTGTTGCCCGGGCCTGACATCGGGAGCTGAGAGAGAGGGACTGGCCCAAAGTCATCCATCTGGCTTTCATGTCTAAGATGGGACTAGAACTCACAGTCTCCTGGAGCCTTAACCACTAGACCAAATCTATCAATTCAATTCACGGACTGGAAACATGAAGACAGAGAACTGGGTGATGCAGTGGGTTATTACATCGGCTGAACTGACCATGAAAACTCATGTCATAATACATTTGTCTTGAAGATTCCATATGGGTCTTTATTGTAGTTGCTGGAAATATAGGTGTTGTGTGCATTGTTCTCCAGGCGAATCCAATCAGAGGCTGGTATAGCTGTGTCAAATAGTTAAACAATAACGCCAGTCAGCAGTGTGTGTGTAATCAGTACAATTGCTGCTTATCTGAATAGTTATGTGTTTGCTGCTAGCCTGCTCTAATAGACCCATGTTCTACTAGGACTTTTGATCTGAGCCCTTGGCAATTTGCCAATATTTAGCTCTGTTGTTGTTGTTCAGTTGTTAAGTCGTGTCCGACTCTTCGAGACCCCATGAACCATATCGCGCCAGGCCTTCCTGTCCTATATTTAACTTAAATATATTCAAAATAACATGAATTTCTTTTAGTATAAGGGCCTTTAATACTTATTAGTGATGGTGAGATTCCTTTCTGATTGTTCAATATGGTCAATTGTTCAAAACAAGATGCTTGAGTAGATGGACTTTTGATCTGATCCAGTTAAATTCTTCTTGTGTACTTGGGCTAATACTTTTTATTATATGGAGGAGAGAAGGAATCCTGGAAGTGTTCTTAGTAAATAAGATATCAGTGTAAAAGGAATCATTTAAGTGAGATGATTTGTAACACAGACTGCACAGCATTTGAACTGTATCATATTTCATTTTGTGTATAGCCCTCTAGGTGAATGTTAAATTCTTAAGCATTGCTTTCCTTGTATTATGGATTCCACCTACAGCTTAAGCTTCCTGTGTTGTTATTATACATTGGAAAATTGGAAAAAGGATAAATATACTGAAATGCATATTGCTGACTTGAATGAATAATTTTCAAGTTTCCAAGAGTCTCTATGCTCATATTTAATTACAAGGTTGACAATTTCAATTTAGAAATGCATTTCCACTTCAAATTCTTTTAAATAATGCCATGTACTTGGATTTATATTTTCCCCAACCCTCACCTGTGAACACACGCACATACACACATTGAAAATAAACCTGATTATTCTGATCATCTTTTGAAGTTTGGTGGAAAAAAAGTGATACAATGTGCAGCTTCTTGACATAATTCATTTCAAAAATCACTAAGTGTAGAACTGAGAATGAGAACACCTTATGCTGATTTGAAAATATATTATCAAGATTCTTTTTGTACTGCTTGAAAAATTGCAAGGGGATGATTCTTCTGCTGCCTTGTGACCCAAAGCAGAGCAAACATGCCCAGGAATCACTGCAAGCAGGGATGACTCCAACAGCAGGCTACAGCAGATCCTTCCAAATATGTATCATTATAATTTATTATGGGTCTTTAGATTTGGAAGAAGACTCATTTTTTTATGCCTGCAAATGCTAATTTGAGCCCTTCAGAAGCCTTGTGAACCCTTGGCTTACTTCCTGGTTAGGAACTAGACTGGGCAGGACCACAGAAGGGCAGCAGCAGAACCATGTCCCCCACAGGTTTGCTTCTTCCACAATACCGTCCATTGCATAGTAAGGCAAATCTTCATTGTATTATTTTAATATCCTTGTTATGAAAAAAAGAAAGAAAAATGCAAATCCTCAAAATTTCATTCTATAAAAAATCATTTGGCCTAATTTTAAATAAATCATTAAACCTTGACCACATGAAATAATATTCATCAGTGTTTCCACTGTATTGTCGAAGTGCCAATTTGTAAAAGGAAGTTATTACATATCTCTAGCCATCACTGTAAATACAGAGTAAATCTTGTATTTCCAGCATTGAATAGTTCCTTTCTTTACTAACCCGCCTGCCATAATATAGCTATAGTTTTTTTACATAAAGATATTCCAAAATTTCAGTATGTAATTTAAGCACATTCACAATCTTTAAACCACAATGATCTTTGCAATACCACTGAAACAATTTTGTGAATATCAGTTCAGAGTAGGATGTTAATTTTAAAAAGCTCGAATTGCAGAGTAGCTGTTCCCTCATCTATACAGGAGTCCTTGTTTAGCAACCACAATTGAGACTGGCAACTTGGTCATTAAGCCAAATGGTCATCAAGTGAAACCACGACTGCGCTTATGATCATATTTCAGCTTTCCTTTGTTTTACAGACCTGCGAAGTTTGTAAAAAGTTATTTTTTCATCACCGTTGTAACTGCAAACAGTCATAAAGTGAGGTAGTTGCTAAATGAGGACTACCTGTAGTGCACTTGCAATACTGTGATGTTGGCAAGCAAGCCCTTTTGAACATTCTCTGAGGAGTGTGAAAGACATGGATAAGAAACTTTTGTTGAATGAAATTGACCTTAGGATCCTAGGAGAAATACATAGTATTTTAAAAACCTTCTCCCATTGATTAACAGATTTAATACAGTATATAACCAAATCCTCAATAGCATTCTTTTGCTCCATCAAGCTGGCCATCACTGACTACACTACCTCCTAGCCATGCCTTGGGGTGGTTTTTTCTTTTCCTTTGGTTCTAGTGGACAAAAGGACTAAGCACCAAAGGCCAGGCCTCCTTCTCACCCAGTGCTTGAATGGAGCCCTGTGGCCTAGTCTGTGGCAAGGAGGTTCATTCTCAGAGCTGACGCTTGAAACTCGCGTTCCAAAACCTTTGAATTCTGCTGCAGCCATAGCTTGTACTTCCAGGATACATCATTACTGAAAATACTGTTCAGAACTTTTGTGCAATAATAGTAGTCTGGTATAAGTGGAGATAGAAGATAGATGAGAATTGTTCAGTCTCCTCCCCACCTCCCCAACCCCCTCCCCGACACACATAAATATTATTTGTTTGTATGAAAAATCTCTTGCGAAGGCTTCTGCTTTGTAACCCTTATCAGTGGAGATCAATCTAGCTGCTATTTTAAGTTCCCTTTTAATTACTTGTTATTGGCCTCTATGTATGACTGTTTTTATTATATCAAACTTTAATATTAGTTTAATATTTGCCTTTCCTTTTTACTTTGAAGTATTTTATCTAGAACATACTGTATCTCTTCTCATTAAAATAAATGCGTGGCTTGGAAAACACTTATCATGATTCCAATATAATAATGAATAAAAGCCGTGCAACAATGCAAAATCATAAAACCAACCATTTAAATAGTAAAAGGACAGCCAATAAAGCAACTAAGTAAAGGCCAATACAATAAATACAGTTTCAGTTTCTGGTAAAAACTCTCCATTTTGCTTACTCTACTAGTTGAGCATCACTAGAGGAAATACCCACATCTAGCGCAGCTGGATGAATTTTGCGTAGAAACTGCCCTAAAAATGTATTTCACCCTTTTTCTTTATTCTTTCCCTTTAAAAAAAAGTCTGAAAGCAAAAACAGATAATAATGCACTTTCCAGTCAGGCTTCCCATGGAAATTAGCGTGAGCTGTTGGGGCTATATAGCCCATCTCTGGTTTTAATTCATCCTCTGGGCACTTCGACTGCTTGATGGGCATTGCTCTACTACGTTGTACTTCATGTTCTAATGTGAAACCCACACGCTCAAGGCAATGTTCACTTAGATATTTTGCTTTGTTTGGCTGTTTCAGCTATTTTCTAGAGTTTCCTCAAGGCCTTCTACCCCCTTAAGTATGAAAAACTGATGAAGTAAGAACCCCCTTAAACGTATACTTGATCGAATATTTCTTTTGAGAGCCTAGACATTTATCTTCATCAGTTAGAAGGGCATATGTGTTTATAAGTTATGGCTTTTCTGCTTCCAATATCAAAGACAAGAAATTATCGCATGCATTCAAAAGGGGAGAAAAAACCTGATTTATACAAGTTTGGCACTTCAGGACTAGAAATAGGTTTATTTAATACCTTCTAACATTGAAACAGCATCATAGCCTTTCTGGAGTTATATGGCTACAATCGTTGCGGATGGTGCTCAAGGGAATATGAGAGGACAAGCCCCTGCTTTCAGGCGCTTACACTCCAAAACTTACACAACGGAATCAAAAGAAGAAAGCTGAGAAAGATTTGACTATTTCACTTACACATGCTTAGGTGGAAAGGACTTCCAATAGAAGACTCCTAATCCAAACATTCAGAAGTCGCTGCAAAGCTCTTTTGTTTTTCCTTCTTTGAGATACTTTTTTCCAGGAATGAAAAAAGACACAGCACCAGGCAGACTGCGC